TCAAAGATTTCCTTAGATTTGTAGGTGTGCATTATCTCCCTAATCTTAAATTGAAGAATGATAAAAAGCTAATAAGGCTTGTACAATATTACTCATCATACAGGCCAGGCTTCTACAATCTTTTGTATCCTTATTCTTTTTTGAATGCACATTCGAGCTTTTACGCTATTCATCCACCATCCCTTGATCATCGATTTGTTATGATTTTTAAGCAAAGAGCTATGTATATTGTCATGTGAGGTTTTATTAGCTTGTCTCGTTATATACTTTCAACATATCAGGTACAAAGTAATAGTTTACTAATTGGTGAAACTTTGATATTGCAATAAACAAGAAGTTACTGTGCTAATTAATTAGTAATAGACAAAACTTTAAATAACGATTTACATTCATGCTAGACAGTACAACTCCTTTTAAATGGAAAAGGATAGGCAGGGAAGATAATAAACCCATCTCAAACAAATACAAATAACATACATTCTCGACATTTTGCTTAGGTGAGTTATATTCAAAGAATAGCCCTTGAGATTGATCGATTTTACCCATCTATACGACAGGTATCATCACAACTCAAGAGCAGAGGGGATCTTAATCATCTTATACAATACAGATATATTGTTACAGAGGATCATGATACAATGATACATATATTTGAGACCTTAATTAGAAAGGCTTTTGTCCTAGGACATTACCATGAGGATCATAATTACAACTAATAAAAGTATACCCATTATAACAAATAACCTTGGCACATCCAACTCTTTTACTTTGCTTCCAAATAATCTGTGTATAATGCAAGCATTCCTCCCCTTGAGCACATGTATTAGTGTAATAATTGTAGAATCTATACTCACCCGCCCAATACGCCACCGCGTCTTCGGCGCCCCATTGCCTCCCGGTACTCCCCCAAAAGAGGTTTTCCCCGTAATCGGAACCCGAATGTATCATTGCGCAATCGCCTTGCCTTTGGTGCGCCCACCACCGGGCGTAGCTTGCTAGTTGTTCACTCCATTTTAAGGGTGGCAAGCCTAGTCTTGCTCTAACCTTGTTGTGTGGTATTAAGTATTGGTTTATTGTATCCTTAGAAGTTAAAAGCCTTCTATTTTCTAAGCCTAAACATTGTTTAGGCAATGAAGATAATATAAATAATGTTGCCAAGAAAAAGTAAGCAATTATTAGCTTAGCTACCATTGGTTGAAAGAATTGAGAAGAGAATGTGCGTTACTTTATGGTTTTGGTATGGGTATTTGATTATCAAATTTTGGTATATATATAGTAGAATTTCTATGTTATAAAGAATAAATAAATAAATTATTGAGGAAATAATTTTTCTTTTTATTGAATTTGAGGTTACAAATAATTGTGATTAGCAAGTTGTAATCGAAGTTTATATAATAATAATGGAGTAAAGTTAGTTGTTAAATGAGCCAATTTCCCATGTTAGGGAGCGAATAAAAAGGGAATAACATGTTAGAGAAAAAAGTTGCTATTTTTTCTTAACTTACATAACTGATTGCTTGATTAGTGAATTTATTTACATAAACAAATTAGTAAAAGTGGCAAAATATTGGTGGATGAAAATGGATTTTGGTTGCATTTAATTGGCGTTATATTTAGGTAAAGTAATTAATGAAGATATGAATTATGATGTCAGGATTTAGGACTGGAAATTCAAGGGAATGGCATGTGAACATGTGCATAGTTACTTTTTTGCTCATAATAATTTGGAATGGGGTGTCGGTTGAATGTTGAACAACATGAGTTACATGATTTCAGTTAGAACGCTCTGCTGAAATTTGTTTTGTGCATACTAACGAATGAAGTAATCCGATTTATAGAGGCGGCAAATGAGATGTTGAGATTGAATTTGGTTTGGGTTATATTATGTAATAGTCGATTGGATTGAGTTTAGTTAAGATTGTATAAAGTGATAGTCAATTGGTTTAGCATTTGTTTGGGTAGGATTTGATTGAGTTGGGAATACGCTGAATTATTATGTGTCTTGTGGCACTAGATTGGGCTGACTTGTGGTATGACTGTATGACGCTGAGCTAGATGACAAATCATGTAGAAATAACTAAAAGTTGGCTTAGATGAAAGCACAACAAGGTTTCACATGCATGAGGCTCAGTCTCATCTGAATTGCTCACAACATGATATGTGTTTAATAAATTAGATAGTTTATTATAAAATGTTAGATTTGTTCTTGAAACAAGCTCATCTTTTTTGGTCAATTTTGAGACATTGTAGAGCAATTTGGGTTTGAGTGGAATAATTTTCAATGAAGGCAAAATTTGGCTGGCCTTCTAATTGCATGTTTATGGTAGCATGCAATGAACAAATACTAAAGAAATTTCACATTATTTAAACTTGTAAAGCTTGTAATGTCATGAAGTCTTTTTTTTTTCATCACTCTCCACTTTAAATAAGTTCGATCATGTCTAATAAAAAAATCGCAATTTATTTAGTTACACACAAGTTTGAGTCGATGGACAATTAATAAAATATATTATTAATTATTGAGATGTGAAACTAATACATCTATTTACTTTATATAACAATTCGAATTAGATAAAAAAAATATCATGTTAGAAAGATTACAATTGTTATATATAAATACTCAACCTTGTTAGAATTTAAACAAAGACAAAGGGATCGGAAGACTACTCAATAGACACACACTTAGATTTAACATTCTTAGCAAATTTTATATGTATTAGGTTCTCCAAATTCTTACATTATCTATTTTTATATATTTTGTGTCGTCTTGGTAACAAAATGACATAATGATCTGATCCCTAAATAGAGTAAATTTTAGCCATATAATTCCTTTTTTTGTTTAGTTCAATACAAAAAGTTTCTTTTTTCAGAAAGTATGTTATTATTTTGAATCTTACATTTAATTATAGTATACAATTGGAATTTTAATATTGAAACTATGTTATCCAACCTAAAATCATATAGTTAGAAACGATAATTTGAAAGAGGATTCGAACAAAACTAATGAGGTGTGCCTGATCTAAGACAGTAGTTGGTTGGGAAAACCGGAAAAAACGACTCCTAAATAAATAAATTGAAGAAATGCCTTAGGCTGTAATGTCAACTCTGTTCAAGTAACTGGCAAACTTTTTATTATTGTTGAGCGGAGTAGTTTTATTGGAAGAATTCTGTTCAAGTAATTCCATAATATATGTTACCAAATTAAGGTTGGTCTAGTGGAAAAGATTGTACCTTCCACCCTTGAGCTTGGGGGTTTAAATGTTCAATTCTCACTAGAAGCACTTTGAGGGAAAGGACCCCTTACCCTTACCCATCCCCTTCCCCCTTCACTCTCAAAGTGTCTGACCCGCAAATACCAAACCAAAAAAATTGCGAGGATTGAGGTTCGATCAGGGTTCTTACCATAAAAATAAAATAAAATAAAAAAACCATAATATATGTTGATGAAATAATGACCCTTCATATAGTAGTTATGTATAATACGCCGTAATATTATTTGTTTCTATTTAGATAGGTGACGATACATGTGTTTGAGGTTAAGTTACACCCTCTTATATAAAAAAGATAACATGTTCATGTGTAGATTATGTGAGTAGTTAAATTTTAGAAAGTACAAATGTGGGTACCGGGTACATATAATGGATAATGCGAGGAGGAAAATATTAAAATTTTAGGTGAATTTTCTAATGCCTTATATTTTATGAAGTATAAATTAAAGGATTTCGAACCTTTATCTTATTCTATTCATTTTTTTTTTTACTTATATAGAAAAAATAAGATCAGTAAGATATATAAGTTTTTTGATACATTGTCCATCTTATCTTAACTCATATCTGCTTATACTCTATTCATTTAATAAGTAATTTAACGGCTTATTTTTCTAGTTTAAGCAATGCAATGGCTTATTACATTCAAAATAAGCTGAATGAGTTAAGATCAGTCCAATTAATGTTATTCCATTCAGATAATTGAAAATTGGATGAATTAATAATGCTCTCTAAATTTAATAATCAATTATCCTTACTTTAATGTAAAATCCGACATGATGCTCTTGTATGTGATTCAACCTCTATAACGAAAGTGGATAATAATTCCCAACTATATTCTACTCAGAAGCTCAAAAGAACAAGATCATAGTGTGTGATACCTTTGTTTTATCCCAAAAGATTTTATCTATCGATGTTTTCAATGAGGCAATATATAATTAATACTCAATTAAAATATGAACATCTTTGTTAAAAAAAAAAAAAAATTTGGACATTCAAAGCTAGGATACTGTTATGGTCAAAAACAACGTATACATTCACTAGCATCTCGTTTAAATTTAATGCTCAGTAATTTTTTTTCTTGCCACCCCTATGCACTAGCTCGATCACCTATGTAATATCAATGTTTAACAGTAGTAATTGTACATAAACACACAAGTTATCAGTATTTCTTTCTCCCTCTATATTGTACAAAGTCTCATTTCCATAATTCTTCGAAATTTTTTAATAAGCGTAACACATTCGATCTACATCATGTTTGATACATACAAATACCCGTGTTAAATAAAGTAAACGGACAAAATAACTAAAAATAACTTAGTGTTTAGGGTAAAAATACCCTAAAACACGTGGCCCAATAAAGGCCTGCCACGTGTCAAGCTTGCAACGGTCAGCAAAGGCCCAATCCCTTTGTGACACGTGTCATTGTACCCTAATTGAGGTACAGTTCTCCCTACTATAAATAGTAAGGGCGGACCTCATTAATGGGGATCGAATCATTTTCCCACAAACCAACAAAACACAAATCCCTTTGCAAACGCTCTCAAATCGAGAAGCATTTATTGTCTTATTTCCATATTTAGAAAGAGACTAACTTAATCTTCGGAGGCGGAACACCCCAGCCCCAGCCGAAGTATTCCGTTATTTGTGCAGGTACCGGCGAAGAAAGGAGCATACTAGGAAATTGTAACTCTCCCATAGGACACATAAAAAAACCCCAAACACTTAGCACCAATAGGGCAATAACATAACACGACTCTCTTATCAATGTTTAAATTATATTAGCTAATTTGTTCATTCACCTCTTTTAATCAATTTTTATTTTTTGAAACATTAATCACCTTATTTTACTCAAATAGTTGAAATTGGACATGTTCCATTAGCTAGTCAGCATAAGAATATATGCTAACACGGTTACAACACGAATAAGAACAACACCGCTTCCAAGATTCAATTCAATCCTAGCTAGTTTGTGTCTATCTTTGTGAATTGAGAATCTTCTAGACTCACCTTCAAACCTTCCAGATTATTTCTTCCCATTAACAAATCCATCATATTATACTATACATATAGGAAAACTTCAATAAAACAGTAAAAAAATTAACTCGTTACTACATTGGAATACTTGAAAAATAAATCAAACAAAACTTGACCATCAAATTCAAATATCATTATGTGTTTGGTGTTTATTGTAGATGAAGACGAGAAGGTGATCGGGCGGTACGCAGCAGGCGGCGCGTGCCCCTACTGCGGAGGTCAAGTCCAGGCTCTAGATGTTGAGAAAGCATGGCGTTTGTGGTACGTCCCTTTGTACACCCGTACCAAACGCAAGTTTCTTTGCTCTTTTTGTAATCGCCCTTTGATCATTCAATATCCTTGAATATTGTTCATGTTTGCATATAATTGTAATTGTAAGCATCATTATAGTATACGATTAAAACGAATAATAAAATGTTTGCTCTTTCCCTCGAAAACTATATATTCCGAAGTACTTTGTATATGCATGATTATATATTACAGTATATGTTAGTTTTTGTGTGTTTGTAAAATTGTAAATTGATGAAGTATTTGTAAATGTAGCCGATATTCAATTTATGGAGGAATGTTGATGATGTTTCATGTTTGTAAATAAGTGTGATCATAAGCATTATTATAGTGTACAGATAATAAAATGTCCGCTCTATTTTTCCCTCACAAACAATAAAAAGAATACGAAAAATTATTATGTTATTAGGTAAAGTTTTTGTGTATTTGTACATTGAACTAAATATGTAGGCAATAATGTATGCATCAAAAATATATGTAGCAATAATGTAGCTCATATTCATTTTGAGGATAAAAGGCAGAAGGTGGCGTCGCCCGGACTTCAACCGGAGACCTTCAGTGTGTTAGACTGACGTGATAACCAACTACACCACGACACCTTCAACGGCAAGTTTTGTGTTTTTTTTAAGTACTTTTTATTAATTCCTTTCTTAAAATTAGATCCTCTTAGAAATGATAAAAAAATCCCGAGGTTTAAGCGCTTAATGAACAAGTTGATTGTTTGTACAGTCAATACTTTCCAATTGTAGAAGTTTCATTATATTACTTAGGTTATTGGGGAGATTAAACCTTTATTAGAGTTGAGTGTTAATTCGGTGTAAACTAACTTTGTGGTTGCCTCTAAAATACGTCGATATCTAATGGCCTGGACTTTACTACTTAATTGGTAAGCTAATTCCAATATATTATGTTGTTGTACACTTGCACAAATGCCAAACATTGAGGTGAAAGGTATCGCAAAGTTTGTTGAAGAATAGACCTTCCAAGTATGATCATATGTAAGTGTCCTACATTGGTTGAAAAATATAAAGTTAATCACTTTATAAGGCTAAGGCCTAAGGGGCTACTCTTCCTACTGCCATATGGTTTTGGGATGGAATCTCCTTTGGACTTGTAAAGTGGATCGGACTCTCTCTCTTGATTTTCGGGTGCGGCCCAGCCCGTTATTTAACAAAGTTGTCTTTTAATATGAATAAAGCAAACAATGGGACTACCTGGTTTGAATAGCATTCAAAATTAACTATAATCCGATTTGGGGGTTTTGTTATATACATCAAACAGTTACAAGATCATTTAGTGCGAGTAATTCGGGAGAAAATGAATATGAATGCATTTTTCAAGATCTTGAATATAATCTGGACCTCATACACAATTAGAGAAATTTGGATAAAACAAAGCTTGTTACATGAACATAACTTACATAAGTTTAAGTTTGCTAACTATTGCAGATTTGTAGTATTGTGGTTTTGCAGCCCTCTTATTCTGTTATCTCATGATTCTCATTGTGATGCCATCTTTCTGAATGAATAAATAAACAAGTAAATGTCACGAATTAGGCCTGCCACTTGCTTGTTTGACCCATTGCCAAAACTCAGGGCCCTTGATCATTCTGGCGTTGGCCCAAATACTTTTTGTGTAATAGCCACGATTTACTCGAAACAAATTTTGATGATAACACGACTAACATCAATCCAAATAAACAAGGTGCACCTTATTTTTGGGAGCTCATAAGTTAAGATAATACTTCGTATGAATTCTTGTTTTTTTTTTTTTTTTTCCGCTTCCACCTTATCGGATATGTCACACTCCAAATAACTCGCAAAAATGGTAGTATCACACTATCACTCGTATGATGGTAATGCGGTTTTAATACGAGTTAGTATTACAAACCATATCTCATCTCCGAATGATGGGTGCGAAAATAACAGAAAGGAAATAAATAGCTTTACACCTGATAATTATGAATGATATATAGTCCAGGGAAGAATAATGAAATTAGAAAATTAGGATCCATTGATTGTTAGTTGTCTTCATATGATGTGACATTCATTCAATGGTGCCATATTAGCCTAATTCATCTACTTTATTTACTTGAAAATTCAAGATTTTTTCTACAACGCTAAATTATATGTTTGAGAACTAAGATGGTATTGAAGATCAAGGGAAATAACTTGTCATGGAAAAGATATATTTTCTTGTATCAATCATTGAAAAGATAGCACCCTTACTGTGATTAGAGATGGCAATGGGTTGGGTCTGGGTCGGGTCTACCAAGACCCAGACCCAAACCCGGAATTTTGGAGGTAGACTCAGATCCGACCCAGACCCACTGGGTTTAAAAAAATCAGACCCAGATCCATTGGGTCTAGCGGGTCTCGGGTCTAAAACGGGTCCAAAACGGGTCTAGCTATGATTTTTATTAATTTTTTATAATCTTTTATATATATTATAAGTTTATAACTATACTAGTACTTGAAAACAATAAAAGATGCATTAAAAAAATTTGTTCATATTTTTGACACACAAATAATTTGTTCATTAAAAAGTAAAGACAATGCATGAAAAAAAAAAAATCTTACAAACTAAGTTTATGGCTGCTTGTTGACTTTCTCTAAAGTCTATCTTCTCAACCTCTAATTACGTAGTACTCCGTATATTATTAATCTAGTATATCTGAGTAAGTGGTTTTTTTTAATAGGAAAAATTGGCCGCAACAGCACCAACTATGACAAAGGTGCGTGCAGTAGTACAACCTTTCGATGGTGCACTCCACATCACAAACTATGCACTTGGGTGTAAATACCAGCATAAATCATAAATGTCACCAACTAAACTCAGATTTTATTGAAAAGTGGAATTTTCGTTTAATATTTTTAATGCTTTTTATACATAATCTAATATATTTTTATTTAATTCCATCCTACTTGATTTTTCATCTCACTTGACTATGTAGTCTTCACTTCCATTATTGATTGTTTTCCTTTAAACATTACTTTTCAACCTCCATCACTAAAGGGATTATTTCAAAAAGTTTTCGCAATTATTTTCCTTCGTTTGCTTCTTCGGTTACTTTTTTTAACATCTCACGTGATTGTCTTAGTTTCCTCTTCCTGTATTTAATTTTATTCCTTTAAATTACTATCTCTCTCAACCTCCACCATTAAAGTGGTCTACATTGAAAACCAATATAATCAATTTGGCCTATCCTAAAATCTTATTCTGAAATTGTTTTCGAAAAATTAAGTATTTTGAAACATTTTGTGGGCTTGCATGGTATTAGAAATAGACTTTTTTTCCTAAAATTTAGAGGAACGAACGAAATGATTTTCGGATGATTTGCTTATATTTATCAACTTAGTATTTGACTAATGGAGGGGGAGAAGTAACTAAATCAATCACATGAGATCGATATATTAAAAAAAAAAAAAAAAAAAGTAATTGATGAAGCGAACAAAAAAAAATAATAGTGAAATTTTTTGAAGGAATTCGCTTTAATGGTGAAGGTTAAAAAGTGTTTAAATGAAAATATTTAATAGAAGTAAAGGCTAACTTAGTCATGCGTAATGCAAAATCAGGTAAGTTTAAAAAATATATAAACAATAATAAAATAATGAAGATTTCACTTTTCCCATGAAATCTTAGTTCATTGGTATCATTCATATTGTTATGTGGACCCAAGTACATATTTTGTGATGTAGATCGCACCCTTGAAAGGTTGTGCTGCTACACGTACCTTTGTAATAGTTGGTGTTGTTGCGGCCAAATTTTCCTTTTTAATAATATTATATCTGATATATATTTATTAATTATAAAAAAAATAAAAAATGGGTTCATGAGTCAGATGTGGGTCGGATCTGGGTCTACACTTTTTGGACCCAAGCCCAAACCTGACCCATTAAACTTAGACCCAGATCCGACCCAGACCCATCAGGTCTAAAAATTAAGGATCCATACCCTAAAATATGGGTCGGGTCCAGGACCCATTGCCAATTTGCCATCCCTACCTGTGGTTAGGGCTGGCAAAAACTGACCCGACCCGAAAATAGCGGGTTAGGGTTGAGAATTTCGACACTAAAACTTAAATGGGTTGACACGAACCCGACCCGAAATTAAATGGGTTAGGTTAAGGTTGAAAATTTCAACCCGAAAATGATCCACGTAACCCGAAATTATTTTCGGGTCAAAATAAGGTCGGGTCAACCCGAACCCGACCTTATAACCCAGAAAAAAGTCTTTTTCAAAAAAAAAAATTCATTTTGATAATTTGATGGCCCAAGCCCAATTGAAAGTTTGAAACCTAGAAAAACATAAAATCCTAAAAATAACTATCAGCTGTTTTCACTCATATTTTCACATTTTCTCTCTCTTAAAACTTCTTAGTGTTCTGGATTGTTCTCACTCTTTCGTTCTCAACTTCTCCCTCTTCTCACTGAGTCTGAAAACCCTAATTTCGTTCTCAACTTCTCACTTTTCTTACTCTTCTCACATTTTTGTCCTCTAATCTTTCGTTCTCACTCCTCAACGTCTGAAAGGTAATGTTTATTAATTGTTTTTGTTTTCGTTTCGTTTTTGTTTTGGATCTCAAGTTCTGATTTCTGAATTTTCCATTCTCGTTTTTTTTAATCTTCAAATCTTCCTCTCCTTCAAGCCGTCAAACCTCAAAGGTAATTTTGTGTTTCCGTTTCGTTTTTTTTTTTAAATTCAGTTTTTGTATTTGATTATTGTTGTTGTTCTTGCTTGATAATAGTCTTAATATGCCTAAAATTTGTGTTGTTAATTTCTGTTGTTGATTGTATTTTTTTTACACGGGGAAATGGTAGATTTGTGTTGTTTTGTTGTTTATTATGCTCGATCTAAGAGTAATGATGATGGGTTGTTCATATAACGTATGATTTTATAAAATTATAAGTGGAACGAAGTTTATTTGACTGAATATTTTTATGTACAATCAGAGTTAGAGACTGATTGCTTTGTAAATTTCTAGCACAATAATCCAATTTTTCCTAATCAATTTTACAGCAAGAATATATCTCTATGACATGCATTTGATTTTTTTAATTTTTAGTTCTGATTTAGATTATATCTCTAGCTTGTTGTTGTTGACTTGTTGTTTATTTTATATTGTTGTTCTTGTCCAAATAATTTCTGATTTTTAGGTTTAATTTTTTTCATGTTCATTTGATCATTTCTGTAGTTTATTACTCTATTTCTGTATTATATTTTGCAAGTTTATGAGAATGTAATTATTGTGTATTTGTATTACAAGTCAATTACTAATTACTACTAGATCAATTTTTGTCTCTTGTTTTAAATGTTTTATTTTGTTATAATTTTTGGCAGTAATTATGGATGCCGATGTTCAACAACTTTCTTCCGGGGAAGAGGAGGAGATTGACTCAACAACAAAAGACAAAGGAAAGGGTAAAAACCAGAAAACTTCTTCTGATAAACCTCGTGTGATTCTTACTGGTAAGAAATGTCAACATCAACTTTCTTCTGATGTTTGGGTGCATTTTGAGTTTTTAGACGAGCCTGATGAAAATGGTAATCTAATTTGCAAATGTACAAAGTGTGGTATACGCTTTAATGCTGATAGTAAGAATGGAACTGGGAATCTTCATCGTCATGTGAAAAATTGCCAACGATGGTCTTTTAGGGATGTTGGTTAAATGATATTAGAGAAAACATCCTCTAGTTTAGGAAATAGATTGCGTGAATTTGATGCTAATTATTTCCGTGAATTATTATCTCTTGCTATTGTGGAGCATGATATGCCATTTCAGTTTGTAGAGTTCAGGGGTTTTAGGAGATGTTTTAATTATTTGCATCCTGATTTCAAACCTGTCACTCGAAATACTATCAAATCTGATGTTCTTAAGATGTATAAAAGAGAGAAAGAAAAATTAAAAGCGGTTTTGGGCTCAACTTGTAGTAGAATTGCATTGACTTCTGATTGTTGGACTTCTATAACCACTAATGGTTATATTTCATTAACAGCTCATTATGTTGACAAGTCTTGGTGTTTGCAAAAAAAGATCTTGAACTTTTCTTACATTAGTCCTCCCCCGTACAGGAATTCATTTATGTGATCATGTGTATGGTTTGTTAGAGGAATGGGGTATTCAAAAAAATATTTTTTCAATTACATTAGATAATGTTTCTTCAAATGATGTTTTTGCTGAAAATCTAAAAGGGGAACTTGAGTTGATTAGTGGTGGGGAATTTTTTCATGTAAGGTGTTGTGCTCACATTCTTAATTTAATTGTTCAAGATGGTTTAAAAGAGATTGATGAGGCTGTGTATAAGATTAGAGAGAGTGCCAAGTATTGTAAGAGTTCACAAGCTAGGAAACAAAGGTTTTTAAGTTGTGTATCACATGTTGAAATTAAATCTACTAGAATTTTACAACAAGATATTCCTACTAGATGGAATTCAACTTACATGATGCTTGATTGTGAATTGTATTTTAAAAAAGCTTTAATTCACTTTCAAAAAGTTGATGCCAATTATGTGCATTGTCCTTCTGCCGAAGAATGGGGTAGAGTTGAGAAAATATGCAAGTTTTTGAAAGTTTTCCATGATGTCACACTTGCCTTTTCTGGGACCAAATATCCAACTTCCAATCTCTACTTTCATTGAGTCTTGCAAGTTAGGTTGTTGTTACAAAGTGAAATGAAAAGTTCAGATCTTTTTATGCAAAAAATGGCTTGTAAGATGTATGAGAAATTTGGAAAGTATTGGTCAGAATTTAGTACATTTATGGTTGTTGCTGTTGTGTTGGATCCACGATATAAGTTGTAATGTGTCAATTGGGATTACATGAGGATATATGGTCAACATAGTGTTGAATATGAGCTTAAGTTTTCTAAGGTTAAGGACGCTCTACGGAGGTTGTACGAGGCTTATGCATCTTGTCATTCTTCATCAAGCAAAGCTATTCCCACTACTAATGCTTCCAATGCTGCAAATGAAGCTTCTGATGATTTTATGATGGTAAACAACTTTCTGATGCATTTACCTTTATTGCAAGTGAAACAAATCCTGATATAACTCAGTAGCTTTTAGTTTGCATCTTTTAAGTTTCCTCTTATGCTAAACCATGCCTGACTGCCTTTCACAAGATTGTATGAAATTTACTGTTAGTAATCCTAAATTTCTGATCTATCTGGATGGTTTGGGCCAGATTGTCAATGGCTAGATTGTCAGCTTGTATAATCTGAATTTATTGTATTATAATCTGATTTTTATTTTCTGATTTTTTGTGTCATGCTACTCATGTAATCTAATCTTGGTATATAGGATTTTGATAGTTTATCTATGGAGCAATCAAATCTGAAATTGATATGTATTATGAGGAGCCCTTTATCCCTCGAGGCACCGACCTTGATATTTTGTCTTATTGGAGAACTTGTTCGGTCCGATATCCTATATTAGCTAATATTGCTAAGGATGTTCTTGTTGTCCCCGTATCAACCGTGGCCTCCGAATCAGCATTTAGTACTGGGAGTCGGGTGCTTGATTGTTATAGAAGTTCTTTAAAATCAGAAACGGTGGAGGCTATAATTTGCTTAAGGGATTGAGATTTTGGGGAAGGTAATAAATGAGTTAATTTACAAGTAATGAAGTAATACAATAATTCTAACTTCTATTTTTAGTACATGTGTTGATTGTAATTTGCTATCTTTTCTTGTAGATAATATGGATCCTCAAATGGCAATGCTATGTGGATCCGTTATGAAGCTTAAGGTGGGGGACAACGATGACACACCACAAACCTCGCCGGAACTTGAAGAATTTGATGAGAATGGTTCTTCGAACATTGTTTGAGTCATGAAGACTATTAAGTTTATTAAAAAACATTTATTTCTTTTTAGTTGTGGTTTGTAATTTGTTAAGACTATTTTGGTGTGTAATAGTTAATTAGGCATTTTAGACTTAACTTTATTTGGTTTTCTTGAAAATTTGAAGTTTAGAAATCAGGTTTGAAAACATTAAGTAAATAAATCAGGTTTTGTTAACTGTTTGAAAACACAAAATCTGGCTAAAAATTAGTTTATTCAGGTAAAAAAAAAATTAAAAAAAAATAACAAAAATCAGGTCAAATCAGGTTGTTTTCGGGTTGACCCGAACCTGAAAATATCAGGTTCAGGTTGGGGTTTTCAACCCGAAAACTTAAATGGATCAAGTTCAGGTTGGGGGTTTTCTGACCCGAAACCCGAAAACCCGAACACGAACCCGACCTGATCCGTTTGCCACCCCTGCCTGTGGCTGTGGTAGGAGGGGCACCCCCCATATTAATATATATATATATAAAAAAAAAAATCATTGAAAAGATAGGAGAGCATATGAATTCTTCACTTACAAGAAAAATTTAAGCTAAATTTCCTAATGATGCCTTTATAATTCATATTTATAAATATATTTTCCTATCTTCCCTTTGGCTTTTGGTTTTGTTGCATAGATTAGGGATCACTATAGAAAAGCTCCATTTTAAAAACCTTATCCTACTTTATCAAATCACTGGTATTTATATATATAATTGACGCAATCAATCTAATACAATCAGGATATCTTACATACGAGTGTATTTGTATACAACTTGTTTATCCCTCTTGATTCTTACAGCTTCGATTCCAAACCACATAAAACTACACCAATCCCTAAACACCAAAAAAGAAAAAAAAAACACCAGTGTCTAATAACTTTCAAAAGAAGGGATAAGAAAATGAATGAAAGCCAAAAAGAAGAGGTAGGAAAGAGACTTAATAGTTTAGAAGCAAATAACGAATATGCGATAGTTAGTTGAATAGTTCCTTAGTCTTTGGGACAGGTGGCTGCTTCTTTTGTTTATGTCTTTCCAAAATGTTTACATCGACAATTACCATTTTATCAATTATCATCAATAATACAAAGGGACCACCTCAATCATGATTAATCCCATTTACTTTATCCTTTCAACTTTTTTTTTTTTTAATTATATATAAATATATATAATGGTGTCTATTTTAGGGTAAAAATAATAGTATTGTAACATTTGTAAGAGAGAAAATACATATAAAGAAAAAAATAGAAATGGATATTGTCACCCCATACAAGAAGCCAAAAAAAAAAAAAAAAAAAAAAAATTGCTATCTTTATGGGTGTATCAAAATTAATTTTAAGAAAGAATGATACCGTGTTAGACCATTATTATGTTCACAAGTGTAACAACTAAAAACTTTGCGTATCCATTGTTACAGTGCGAACATTAAAAAATATACTATTTTATTCACCTTATTTTCACTTATTTCAACTCTAATAAGTTCACGATAAAATATAAAAACTTCAACCATAAGTTTAAGTTTTTGGTTGAGATAGTCTTTCAACATGGTTTCAAGAGCCAGCGTGATACAAGTGCGAGTTTGAATCTCATCCACCACTCCTTTCAAAGTGGAATATAAAATGCTGGGTATGACGGGGCACATGCTACATTCACACTTTAAGTCCAATGGGCTCTCATGTGAGGGGGCATGATAGAGTATAAAACATATTCTAGGATTTCAACCAGAAAAAATAAGTTCAAATAAGGGTTACCTAAGTTCAAATTATAACTAAAATAAGGTGTCGTTTGATTCACAACTTCACATGGAAATTAGAACTTTCCATGAATTGCAAATTTATGGGAATTAAATTCCTATAATTAAATTCATGGAAATTCCCTAAAATTGTTTGGTTAACAATGAGGGAAGTAACTTTTTATGGGAATTTCTACTTACCTAGGGGGATTAGGTAAGTGAATTCCTACATCTTTTGGAAACTCAAAATTCCAAAGAAGTCCCACTTCCCCCATTTCACCAAATTTTTGTCAACCAAACAACACACAAAACTTGCAATTTCTAAAAAGTCTCACTTCCCATGTTTTTTTTTGTCAAACAAATAAGCCTCAAGTTTTAATAAGTTCAGATAAGTTAAGTTAAGTTCAAATAAGTAAAAATCAGGTGAATAGATCACACCCATATAAAATACTTCATAACATATACTTCTTCTGTTCCAATAATATTGCAACAAGGATGAAATTACGCATCCTAATGCACATTTTATATTTTTAATATCTATAATTGTATAAGAGTAAAAATTATAAAAAAGTTGATATTGTAAAAGTATTTTATGAGACGAATCTAACAAGTGCAAAAGTCTCATTATTACAAATTATTGGAACAGAGGAAGTATATAGTATAAATTGATGAACAGGCTCAAGTGTCCACTTTATAAATCTATGGAGATTCATCAACTTCCACCAAAAAAACATATAACAATGAGGAAAGTAGCCTCATACCCTTATAAAGTGAATACAATTTTCTCTTTTCTTCAATGTGGTTACATATCTCAATACTCACTTTTATTTTTACACTCGATTAATATGGGATAACACTTCCACTCACATGTGAATTTGCTTATGGATTCAACATAAATTCATATGTTAGGACTCACAAGTAATCGCTTTTTAATTCATGCCAATGTGCCTGAGGACGTTTAAAAGATAGATAGTATAATTAATTCCTTAAAAATGGAAAGTTTTTCATCTAAACATACAAAGACTAAAGCCACACTGAATTATTCTTTTCTGCTAAAAATTAATGCATACCAATATACAGGGATAGGTTTCTTTTTAGTTTTGTTAGGGTTGGTGAGTGCATAGCGGAAGCGAAGATGTGTTTGATTGAGAAGTATAAATTGAATTGATAATTTGGCAAGATAATTAATATAAATGAACACACGATTTTATGTAACAACAAGCACTTTTATTCCACTATATGAAAAATAGGAGAGTACAAGAACCCTTGAGGGTGATTATTACAAGAGAACTCTCACTATAAGAAACTCACAAGGAGTATTATGATATTAGTGGAATATTACAAGGAGGGAGGATATTTTGTAGAAAGGCTTGTGTTTGGTATGGCTTCTTGTGTTGTGTTTTTGTGTTGTGTTGTTGTTCTTTTGATTGAATGCCCTTGACCAATATTTATAGGTGATGATGGAGGTTTCTAGATTTTTATGGAAATTTCCCCATAATTATGCCTCTTATTCTAGTGGCTTCCACTTTTAATTATTCTCTAGAATATTCTAGGGAATATTAAGGTTGTAGATAACTCTAAAAAAATCAAGTGCAATCTTCTCTGATCTTGATTTTTCATGAAGCTTCTAGATTATACTCCATCGATATATAATGGGCTTATAAAATTTGGGCCATACCCAATAAGTTTAATAGTCTTATTTTATTTTAGAGAAAAGTAGTTAAATATAGTTAATAGTCATATATACTTCTTAAATCTTAATCATGATGTACCTATATAGAACAAATTATTTTATTTATACATTATTGATCGAATTTATAGTAGGATTTATTATTGGATGCATGACTGCATACCGATGGGCGGAAGCCACTGGTTTCGGTGATTTGTGCAAAGTCGATGAATCCTTATGAAAAAAATAAAAAATAAAAAAATCACACACAATATAATATGTTACAAAACAAAAAAGTGGCAACAAATTATAGAGTCCCTTCAGCACTTGCATTTAACAAACCTTAAAAGAAATTTGCTAGAAAGGCCACAAAATTAAAAATTTTGAATTTTGGAGGGGTTTCTATTGAATTTTATCGGAGGAAAGCCCTAATCTTTGTTCTTTTGTGCTTTTTTTTTATTTTTCTTTAAAATTTTAATTCTTATTCTAAAATATATTCATTATTCCTCACTTGAATTTCATTAGATGCAAATTAAATACAGAAATTTAAGAGAGTTGGAATTTGAAAGGTTGAGGAAGATAGAGGAGCTAAGAATTGAAGGAAGACAACAAGAATCACATAATTAAGACACACATTCAAAAAAAAAAAATAATGCCATGTGGTAGAGTATTTCTTTGACTATAAACATTTTCACTTACTCCGTACATATTAACACAAACTCTAAAATATTGATATTATTATAATTAAATCTACACATTAAAACATATATCTAACAAACTCTCATATGATATGACTATATTTTTTTAATGTATTAATGAGGAATTTATGATAAAAAAAATTTAAGCTTTTTTTTCTTTTTGATGGCAAGAATTTTTTAAGCTTTGATGACCATAAATCTAAAATAGAAATAGACACTATATTCTAACACAAAGGGTGTATGTAGCATAAAAATGTTCCTATTTTAAAACATTATACTCCTATACTGTATATCTCTATCCCTATCTTATAAATTTTTTAAGAAAACTCTTATAAATAGTGCTGGACATTTATATCCCTAAAAATATTCTTTAACATATTCTCCCTCATTTGATTTCAAAAGCCTTATAATTGTCTCTTGATTCCCTAGTTGATTTAAAAATTTATGTTTATTTCAATATTTAAATCCATCTTTTACTCTCTCTATTTCTTTTTGTTTTAATTTTCCTATCTAGAATTTATTTAACATTTATATTTCTACATCGAACTCAATATCTTTTTACCGTTTAATCACTAAATCAAAGTAACTCAACTAAAGTTTAGAATATTGCACCACTACACAACATCCAACACATTTATCGTCTATGTGCAAATAGTTTTAATAAAATATTATATAAACAGACATAGGATATAAAGAACATCGGTAATAGTTCTTCTAAAAGGACACGTGCGTTGGAATCCCTATTATATTTAAACAAAAAAATATTCAAAGTAGTTTATTTCTAATCTCATGTAAAATAAAATTTCCGTTATAAATAGAGGTGATAAACCGATCGGTTGATTAAAATAGTCAAATGATTTGCTGCGATCACCAAATTTTGGATTGTTTGGATATTTGTAATAAACTAATAACTAAATAAGCTCTAATAATAAGTCAATATATATAAAAACTTAAAAGTATTTGGGGTGGTAGTTGGACACAAATTTGTTGTAACAGTCTACTGCAATTATTAACATTTTTTTTTTAATTTTTTTTTATGAAAGCCTAGTTAAAATTCTTAGCATGTTATTATTCCTTAATAGAGGTAAGAATTGTACTCGTAACTCAAAAACTTGACATTATTAGGATGATTAACACGTGCGATGCGTGCTATAATAATTCATGTTTAGGGAGTTCTTTCGATTTGGTCTTATGGCATAACTTTAGTTGTTAACGACATTAATGAGGGAAAATATGTAAACAAAAATAAAAATAAAAATTGAGGTATAAATGTCCGCACATTATTCTTGAGAATTCAAAATAAAAATAAAAAATTGAGGTATAAATGTCCGCACATTATTCTTAAGAGTTCAAGAAAATAGACAATTAACATTTTTTTTTTACAAGAAGAGACAATAACATTGATAAGGTCAAATAAGCAATTAAATAAAAATATTTAGAGATTAAAAATCACACATAAGACGATAAAATATGTCAGAACTTATTTAATCGACTTGAACTCATTTTTTTCTGATCTGATTTAAATTTATTTTTCAAAATCTGATATGAAATAAGTAAAGATAAGGTGAACTTGTTATATTTAAAGTGATTTTTTCAAAACTTATTTCCTTTGAACTTAGCCGAAGTTAGGCCCTGTTCACTTTACCTTATTTTTGCTGAACTGAAATTATCTTTACAAAAACTAAAGTTATTTTTATTGAACTAAAATTAATTTTACTGAACTGAAAATATTTTTTTTTTCTGATTATCTATTATATTGTTCTTT